GGCACGGAAGTGGCTATGTTAATGTGAGAGATTAGCATGATGTTAATGTGAGAAATTAGAGGGCATGGAAGTGGCTATGTTAATGTGAGCTATTAGCATGATGTTAATGTGAGAAATTAGAGGGCACGGAAGTGGCTATGTTAATGTGAGAGATTAGCATGATGTTGATGTGAGAAATTAGCATGATGTTAATGTGAGACAATATCATTATGTTAATGTGAGACAGCGTGATGTTAATATGAGACATTAGCATGATGTTAATGTTAGAAATTAGAAGGCACGGTAGTGGCTATGTTAATGTGAGGGATTAGCATGATGTTAATGTGAGAAATTAGAGGGCATGGAAGTGGCTATGTTAATGTGAAAGATTAGCATGATGTTAATGTGAGAAATTAGAGGGCACGGTAGTGGCTATATTAATGTGAGAGATTAGCATCATGTTAATGTGAGAAATTAGAAGGCACGGTAGTGGCTACGTTAATGTGAGCTATTAGCATTATGTTAATGTGAAAATTAGAGGGCACGGAAGTGGTTATGTTAATGTGAGCTATTAGCATTATGTTAATGTGAGAAATTAGAAGGCACGGAAGTGGCTATGTTAATGTGAGAGATTAGCATGATGTTAATGTGAGAAATTAGAGGGCACGGAAGTGGCTATGTTAATGTGAGCTATTCACATTATGTTAATGTGAAAATTAGAGGGAACAGAAGTGGCTATGCTAATGTGAGCTATTAGCATGATGTTAATGTGAAAAATTAGAGGACACGGAAGTGGCTATGTTAATGTGAGCAATTAGCATGATGTTCATGTGAGAAATTAGAGGAAACGGAAGTGGCTATGTTAATGTGAGAGATTAGCATGATGTTAATGTGAGAAATTAGAGGGCACGGAAGTGGCTATGTTAATGTGAGAGATTAGCATGATGTTCATGTGAGAAATTAGAGGGAACGGAAGTGGCAATATTAATGTGAGCTATTAGCATGATGTTAATGTGAGAAATTAGAGGGCACAGAAGTGGCTATGTTAATGTGAGGGATGAGCATGATGTTAATGTGAGAAATTAGAGGGCACAGAAGTGGCTATTTTAATGTGAGAGATTAGCATCATGTTAATGTGAGAAATTAGAGGGCATGGAAGTGGCTATGTTAATGTGAGAGATTAGCATGATGTTAATGTGAGAAATTAGAGGGCACGGAAGTGGCTATGTTAATGTGAGAGATTAGCATGATGTTAATGTGGGAAATTAGAAGGCACGGAAGTGGCTATGTTAATGTGAGCTATTAGCATGATGTTAATGTGAGAAATTAGAGGGCACAGAAGTGGCTATGTTAATGTGAGAGATTAGCATCATGTTAATGTGAGAAATTAGAGGGCACGGAAGTGGCTATGTTAATGTGAGATATGAGCATGATGTTAATGTGAGAAATTAGAGGGCACGGAAGTGGCTATATTAATGTGAGCTATTAACATGATGGTAATGTGAGAAATTAGCATGATGGTAATATGAGAGATTAGCATGATGGTAATATGAGAGATCAGCTCGATGGTAATATGAGAGATTAGCTCGATGGTAGTGTGAGAGATTAGCATGATGGTAGTGTGAGAGATTAGCTCGATGGTAATGTGAGAGATTAGCTCGATGGTAGTGTGAGAGATTAGCTCGATGGTAGTGTGAGAGATTAGCTCGATGGTAATGTGAGAGATTAGCTCGATGGTAATGTGAGAGATTAGCTCGATGGTAATGTGAGAGATTAGCTCGATGGTAGTGTGAGAGATTAGCTCGATGGTAGTGTGAGAGTTTCGCTCGATGGTAGTGTGAGAGATTAGCTCGATGGTAGTGTGAGAGATTAGCTCGATGGTAGTGTGAGAGATTAGCTCGATGGTAGTGTGAGAGATTAGCTCGATGGTAATGTGAGAGATTAGCTCGATGGTAATGTGAGAGGTTAGCTCGATGGTAGTGTGAGAGATTAGCTCGATGGTAATGTGAGAGATTAGCTCGATGGTAGTGTGAGAGATTAGCTCGATGGTAGTGTGAGAGATTAGCTCGATGGTAATGTGAGAGATTAGCTCGATGGTAGTGTGAGATATTAGCTCGATGGTAATGTGAGAGATTAGCATGTAACTGTCGAAAAGAAGAAGAGCGGCCTCCTCGACGAGGGAGTCCAACCCAACGAGTGTAATCCGAAGGGCCTGTGAGTCCGTGCTGTGTGTACTTGTGTTGAGATGTCACGCCGCAACAACTACTCTTACCGCGGAGTAGGGTTGTATTCGATCTTGAATGGCTTCATGGTGGCTCGCTTTGACAACTTGTTGTTTATCGCAGAACAAGAAGGTGCTACCTTATATTATGGCCCCGTCGAAGTTGTGGTCAAGTTGAAAATTTGTGAAAAGCAAATGACCACAGATTTTCAGCGCTGGGGCCATCGATATTTTATATTTCACAACATGTTGCAGGCTTTGTAACCAATTGCCTGGTTCCCTCAGAACATTAAACTTATCTCAGTCATATATATTTTTTAAAAAATCACGTTGCAAATGGATTTTTTTTTTAGTTCTGTGCTGTGATCACAACTTTCAAAACCAAATGTTAAACGTATGCAGCAACCACCTCGCCAGGGTTACTGCGTGACATTCTCCACGAATAGAACAGGCGGCTTCTCGTCAACAGAGGGAAGTGAGGCCAAAATGATTGCACTGTACTTTGCTCCAACGTCTATCTATGCTCCCCCACATTCACCAACGTGCAGGAACCATCGTGGTGATAGTATGGTCAAATAACGCCGTAGGGGGAAGGCACCTGCTCTACAGCAGTGGATCCACTGCTCTACAGCAGTGGATCGTCAACAGGGAGCAAGCATGCACAAATACACTGCACTGTGATGTTTGACATGACAATATGGCAGGAATTACATCGATTCATTATGATTGTCTTATCCAGTGATGTGTTTTAGTAACAACCGTTACAGTGACATTACGAACAAAATACCGGAAATAAAAATTGCAATACCGTACTTATTTATGAATCGGTTCAGTATGTGCATAATAAAGGTTTTTGGGTTAGATCGCGTTATTTATAAATGTGTCGTAACCCTCCACCACCCGACACGGCCAAACAGTAAAAAAATGTGTCACGTTTAGAAAGGACAAATAGTTCACTACTTTAGGCCACCGGTGTGTTGAAGAGTGAATCAACATCACTTTAAATTTGAGTACGACGTTTCGCTGGCAATTACATCCAGCATCATCGGGCAATTCGCCAGAATGGTAAAGCCCTCACTTGCTCCCGGTCTTAAGTAGAGCAGCAGGGTGACGTCATCATTTAACTCATTCCTTTATTATGAATAATATTGGTCGCGAAAGCCTACGTGTTAAACTCAGTATGTGCAGTATTGCCGGAAGTCACATACAATAAAACGGAGTGGCTATAAACTTATAAAGGCTCTCGCCACCACCCCACGTCTTCAAATTCACTCCCCATTCAATTGATAATAATCAACTCGTTCCACGCTCAACGCACCCGATGATTGCAATTGTTCAACCCGTCCTACGCGATGCCCCGAAGCAACGAACGCTGGCTGCGTTGCACATGCTCCACGTGTGTAAAATGTGTGCGCGTGTTCCACGTGTGTACAGGTGTGTACACACGTGTAACACAGATCGTACTTTGAATCGACGCTGTTTTTCTTTCGACGAGTTTTGCCTGCGAAGATTCAAGAGAGGGTAGGCATGCACGCAGGAATGGCGACCGAACCTGTTCTTCAACCACGCACTCCGCAGTGACGCGTGGACACATCACACACCCAGGGCTGACACGACTCGCGTTTAACGCTTTTATTTGCCCCTGGAATGACACGAGGCGGTGTATAGGAGGCTTCTTAACCTATTCGTTTATTCGTTTATAAACAAGCAGGCGATACACCTCCATGCATAACTCCTGTCAGCGGTCCTATTACCCGCAACTCCTATCCGCGACAGCTGAAGGATCCGCGAAAGCTCCTATTGTCCGGGCCACAGTCTTCCAGTTATTCGCGATTTTACCCAACGGTTCTCTGCGATCCGGTGCCCCGCGGATACGGGGAGTAAATTGGCGGATAATAGGATCCGTGATATTAGTATCCACCCCCCCCCCCCCCCCCCCCCCCCATATCATCACAGATAAGAGGAGTTCTGTATAATGCATGACTCTCCACGTCCTCTCAGCCACACCCGCCTTATGGGAGTAATTTCATTCTGGTTAACACGTAGGCTTTCACGACCAATGTCTTCACATAATGTAGGTTTCCTTGGGTTAGATCGCGTACATATAGTAAGGTTTGTCACGTCAAAAGAACGTGGCCAATTCGTCACGAGTACAGCACACACCGGCGTGTTGGAGAGCAAATCGACAACATTTACAATCCGAGTACGACGTTTCGCCTCTAACAACAACTCGCCTCATCAGGCGGACAGCCAGAATTGTGACAGAAATCCTCCTGTTGCGTTCCCTCGAATGTCATTCAGAAGCACTGATGTAACAGAAGCAACCACTGGACCGGTTCAACGTACCGTTGGCAAAACATCGATCCGGGCTTAAAACCAATCATTGCTGGTGAACTGCCAGATGTTCGTGTGGACAAAGTTGCCCTCTCTGTTCGCGGGGTCGGTGGATCGCAGAACAATGTTGTGAAATGCCCTTAGGGGCCGTCCATAAATGACGTCACGCGATTTTGGACGTTTTTTGACCCCCCCCGCCCCCAAAATATATAAAACGTGCTTCAAATCGCTTTAAACTTTTGTCATTGTAGTGCGTATTTAATGTGGCGCTGCACTCTGATGTTGTAGGAGAAAACATTTATTAAAAAGTCTACTTAATTAAGTAGAACGTGTTGTCTATATTGATTTAAAGTTGCGCATTTTGATGTGACGTCACATTTCTCCCCCCCCCCCGACCCCCCTTCGTCACACATCGTCACAAATTTCTGACCCCCACCCCCAGGTGCGTGACGTCATTTATGGACGGCCCCTTACTATAAGAGCCGAGGTACCATAATATACCCTAGCTCGCCAGGAGGCGGCGGCATACAGCAACATTGCCTCATCGCCATCTGTTTCCATCTGTACGGAGTCACAGTTGTTGGTTCCATTGCGCGCCTGGGCTCATGACCATTGCCTCATCGCCATCTGTTTCCATCTGTACGGGGATACAGTTGTTGGTTCCATTGCGCGCCTGGCCTCATGACCATTGCCTCATCGCCATCTGTTTCCATCTGTACGGGGATACAGTTGTTGGTTCCATTGCGCGCCTGGGCTCATGACCATTGCCTCATCGCCATCTGTTTCCATCTGTACGGGGATACAGTTGTTGGTTCCATTGCGCGCCTGGGCTCATGACCATTGCCTCATCGCCATCTGTTTCCATCTGTATGGGGATACAGTTGTTGGTTCCATTGCGCGCCTGGGCTCATGACCATTGCCTCATCGCCATCTGTTTCCATCTGTACGGGGATACAGTTGTTGGTTCCATTGCGCGCCTGGGCTCATGACCATTGCCTCATCGCCATCTGTTTCCATCTGTACGGAGTCACAGTTGTTGGTTCCATTGCGCGCCTGAGCTTTATCTGGAATGCTCCAGTTTGCTCCCACTCGCATAGACAATCGTTTGCTGAAGGCATCGTACATTGAACAACGACACAAAGCCAGTGCAAGGACTGGAGGTGACTTTTCTGGCTAAGCAAGCAAAGTAATATGGGTCCTAGTTCGATCCAAAACCATGACGCTCATACTCTCAAAACGAGGCGAATGGGTATTTTTTTTTGTCTGACGTCTCGTGGCAGCAAAGGTGTGTTGTGCCTTTTAATGTTGGCTATTTAAATGTGGCCACGCGGTGGCTGGGCGCGCAGTCGCTTCGGGGATTTCCAGCGCATCGTCCGTCGTTGTTTAGCATTGCGCGCAGTCGAAGGGCGCTCTTTTTTTTCCTCCCATTCGCGAAGCTTCGAACTAACACGTCAAGTATACAAAGTGTGTCGAGGGTTTTTATAAACGTAGACGAGGTTCTTTTGTTTGGATGAACTCGTTGAGTTTCGGCTTCCTTTGCGTGGAGACGCGACCGGGCCACCATTTCCAGGTACGGTTTTGCTATCACGTTTGCTTTAAAAAAAAAATGTCTTCTTTATTGCTCAACTTATTACGTTATGTACAGTGTTAAGGCAAACAACAAGAGTCAGTTGATAAAACATATATATGTTACCTTTAACGTACGTCACTTGTTACATGCCACTGTGGTTTTGTGCTGTACGCGTGCTAACTGATGCAACCCGTCGCTTCTAGGGACGTTTTAACACGACGAGGTCAGATTTCGTATTGCTGTGGTGGTTTCAGTTTGTGCAGTGGTCGTTTCAGTTTGTGCTTGAGGGCTTCGTCCGGCGGTGCATTTGACCATGGCCGATGATGATCGTGCAAACAAGTGTTCAATATTTCGTTGCGCTTCTAAGCGTACCTTAGTTGTGGATGGTTGCACTCGAAAACGCTTGGCTGCCTGATAATATTCACTGTTGGTGTATTGAACTGATTTATGACGCCCAATGAGCGGACCATTCACGTAGTTAGGTTTGTTAATGATGAAAATTATTCAAATAAACTATCCACTTAGCATGTCTTATCCCTTAGGCTAACTTTTCCAAAAGTACTGTATCTGACATGCTTTCAGTATATAGTACTGCAGGGTTATAGGGGCAGTGGTTCTCAACCAGGGGTTACACGGGGACTCCTGGGGGTACGCGAGGTGATTTTATAAATGTGCGAAATTATATAATGCGCGAGATGCATTGGTGAATAATCGTGTACGAATATGAAATGACGACGATGCAATGTTTCATCCATGACGGTAACCTAAAACGATCTAAAAAAAATAAACTTTCTAAACTCATTGATCAGAGAGCGCAAACATTCCGTCATGCGTGCAGAGCGCACGTTTACAGTTACAAACCAGTTAGGATACCTCACAATATTTGACAATAGGTTATCATATTGATGTTCATTGTTCGTACATGTATTTCTCGGAACCATGTTAGGTCAGACAAGGGGGTACTCGTTTGAAACAATATTCATAAACGGGTGCAAGTAGCCCCAAAAAATGTTGAGAACCACTAGGACTATAGGGCATGTTGGTGGTGTGGTGGTGGTGGCGTTGACAGAGGGCTTAACTCACAAGTTCCCATCCAGGGATAATTGTTCCATTATTCCACCAAAATACATGAAATTTGTAGTTTATCCTTGTTTTATTTATATTTATATTCTTGGTTCTTTCGGTAAAGTCACGTAGAAGGGAAACAATGAAATAATAACAAATATAAAACAATAAAATTCTCACGATTTTCCACTGCAACACAAGCAATTATCATCAGGTGTGAAAACCACAACAAGAAACACACCTGATGATGACCGTTTGAGTTATGGTCGAAACGTCGTGAGAATTTTTTATTGTTTTATATATATTTTGTTATTTTGTTGTTTCTCTTCAACGTGACTTTACCGAAAAAACTAAGAAAAAGAAACATTTTCTTGTTATTATTTTATTGTTTCCCTTCTACGTGACTTTACCGAAAGAACCAAGAATATGAATCTCTGCAGTCACGAAAGCTATAAATAAAAATTGTTTATATTTGTTTGAAGTCAACCATGGCCTTTTTATACATTGGCCCCTGCCATGAGAAGATGCACTTTTTCACACTTTTGCTCAGCATCTTGATATTCGCATAGCCTCGCTGATCATTTGAACGCCGAGCCACTGACTTTTAAAATTTCACAGCAATGATAAGGTTCTTAAAATGTTGATCTGAATCAGTTGTTAACGATAACTTTCATCTCGTTACAGATGGCAGGGGTTGTATTGTGCCTCCTGGCCATTATATGGCACAGCGATGTCTTCCAAGCTCTTCCCCTCGGTCATCTTGACGACAGACATCAGCCAGTCAGGAGTAACTACTACATGTGGTATGACAACCTCACCGGCCGCCCCATACCTTGCTGGAGCTGCACGGCTGGGGCGTATGTGACCTTGCATTGCAAGGAAGGGGCGCCTGAGAGCACAGAGTGTGCCGCCTGCCCCGAAGGAACCTACACGGACATGCCTAATGGCCTGGAGAGCTGCCTCTTGTGCGCGACGTGCCACAACTTCAACCACCACTACATGGAGGCCCCCTGCAAACCGTACAGCAATACATTGTGCCGTTGTCAGGGGCGCATGTATAAGGACGGAGACGTCTGTGTCCATTGTGACTCTGGCTACGAAAGGAGAGGTAGGTGCTATGCCATCTTGTCTCATCAATCAATCACAACTATTTCGACTGGTGCATCCCAAGCCAGTGCAGAGCTGTCACGGTATGTTTTTTTTTTCCCCACTCTGTATTTTCCAGAACATAAACTATGATGCGCCAATCTCACAAGACATCTGAATCTGTTGGCCAAGAAAGGGCATGGGTGGGGATAATTATGCTTTAGTTTAGCGTGACATCAAGTCGGTTTCACTTTTTTGAGCACAACAGCAACGTCGTGAGAATATTATTGTGTTATTTTATTTTATCAATTTATTATTTTATTCTCATTCTACGTGACTTTACCGAAAGAACCAAAGAAGACATCAGATATGTGTTTCGACTAATTCAGGATGCTTGCAATAAATGTTAGGATTCTACAGGAACACAATGTCACACTGTCTTGTTAATGACAAGCATAACATTTTCAAATCATCCCTATATGTTGCATGCAAAACATTTCAATTTTACATTAGGATAGTACTGAGTTTTAAATCTAGTCTGTTAATAGTTGTTAATATGCCATCTTTTTGGCACAGTGTACATTTGTGTGCATACCACTCAACTAACAGGTCCCTGCAGGGTGGGCTGGTAGGAACATTGGAATTTTGCGCAATTTAATTTTTACACCCCAACAGCACGAGATTTCACTTCGTTAAAGTATTGAAAGGGGACGGACGGACGGACACATTAATCTATTGCAGGCTGGTACACTCAGTTTACAACTTCGTTCCTACCAGTATAAATCTGAAGGCTATGGGTTAAAGTCCAGGTCAGGGATTGACTAAATCAATGAAGCTCAAGTCAACAAAAATAAGCAAAATTTTATGGGATATTAAAAATCGTAAATCCGATGAAGAGGGTGGCCCTACCTTAGGAATCTGGAATTTCTACCACTGGATCATAGCCTGGCCAGCTTGGAAGCAATTCCCTCTAGATCAACACTATCGTGGAGGGCCTTCTGCCGGCCGTGCCATGAGCAACCAATTGCAGGGCTGCAATGATATTTAGTTTTTGCATGCAAACTTTCCCATTAGTCACAGAGAGAACCACTCTTTTGTACACAGTGCCAAGAGACTGGTAAAATAAACTGCTCAAAGCTGTTATTTGAGAAACGAGGATGTCAATTTCCAATCAATTTTCAGTCTAATGTAGTTTATTGCCTGGGTGATCAGATGCCAATAGCAAAACTGGCATGTGCTTTAATATAGTTTTTACTACAATGACACTCTATGTAGATAAGGATGATTGGCTATTATGGAAGAGATTCGATGTACTAAGGTATGTAATACTGGTAGGAACGAAGTTGTAAACTGAGTGTACCAGCCTGCAATAGATTAATGTGTCCGTCCGTCCCCTTTCAATACTTTAACGAAGTTAAATCTCGTGCTGTTGGGGTGTAAAAATAAAATTGCGAAAAATTCCAATGTTCCTACCAGCCCACCCTGCAGGGACCTGTTAATTATATTATTGAGCTACAATGCTATAGTTTCTTAAGAGTTAGCGGTTCGGGATTTAATGGTATGTAATTTGTAGTTTATGTGTAAGCTTTGAGAGTTAGGTGTTAAGTATGGCAGTGTCAAAGACCCCTTTCCTACCACAAATCTGCAGGGACAGCAGTCCTGGACATTCTTGTTTGTCCCTTACTATCTTATTTATATGATTTCAATAGTTTTTTATTGTGAATTTTAGTTTCCGCCATTCACTCAGTACTCTTTGGTTCTATTCGGTAAAGTCACGTAGGTAAAAAATGAACAAATAAAATAACAAAAATCATGACGTTTCGGCCACAACACAAGTGGCCTTCATCAGGTGAAGGGACCGTGCTGTCATGAGGACAGCTGGCTCTTCGTAGGTTGTCCTCATGACAGCACGGTCCCTTCACCTGATGAAGGCCACTTGTGTTGTGGCCGAAACGTCGTGATTTTTGTCATTTTATTTTTTACCTACGTTACTTTACCAAATAGAACCAAAGAGTATGGATCCTTGCAGTCACGAAAGCTTCAAATCTAGAATATTCACTCAGTATATTTGTCTGCACTGGTTACACATGCGTTTGTATTCGGTACTGAATGCACTGCCATGACCAGGATTGTCGTATTTCACGTTTTTATGCCTTTATGTATTGCTGTCGCAAGATTGCACCATGACTCACACTCATGTGACTGACCAAGCCCATCCTTGCAATACTACTCTTTACGTTCTTGAACCCGCCGTGATAATCGCGTAAGGCAAATACGTTATGCCCATTCTATATCTACCACATCAATGAAATGGCTGGAAATCGAACGCGGATCGCTGGGCTAATTGTGCAACACTGTACCCACCACTGCACAGTTGAAACCTTAAGCAGCATAAAACCTCAAGCAATTGTTGTTTAGGAAATAATAGCAATGCACTGTACGATAACAATTAGTATGCTTCTGTAGGCGATGACATGATCCATGTTTGTTTTTTGGTTAGGCCACGCAATAATTTATGCCAAAATAAGTGTCATTAACTCCTGAGTGGCAAACCACAGCCTTAACTGTGTGTGACTGGTCGCGACTAACTCCTAACCATGGACCACAGAACCTTGTACTGCCCCAAAGATAAACTCCCAAGGCGGTCTACCTGTAATTCACCCAATGATCAGAAATACGCAAACGAAAGGCAAAATCACTAACAAGTGGATCTCTAATAGTGAGATTCAGAAGTCGTAGTCCAAAGGTTAAAATGGGTGTGTGGCAGTGTTTTTTTTGTCTGTTGTCTCGCCTAGCCAGTGATAGAAATTGCACAATTCTATACCAGGAGCTCTTATACAGTGAGGGAAAAAAAGTATTTGATCCCCTGCTGATTTTGTACGTTTGCCCACTGACAAAGAAATGATCAGTCTATAATTTATATGGTAGGTTTATTTGAACAGTGAGAGACAGAATAACAACAATGAAATCCAGAAAAACGCATGTCAAAAATGTTAAATTGATTTGCATTTTAATGAGGGAAATAAGCCTTTGACCCCCTCTCAATCAGAAAGACTTCTGGCTCCCAGGTGTCTTTTATACAGGTAAAGAGCTGAGATTAGGAGCACACTCTTAAAGGAAGTGCTCCTTATCTCAGCTTGTTCCCTGTATAAAAGACACCTGTCCACAGAAGCACTCAATCAATCAGATTCCAAACTCTCCACCATGGCCAAGACCAAAGAGCTCTCCAAGGATGTCAGGGACAAGATTGTAGACCTACACAAGGCTGGAATGGGCTACAAGACCATTGCCAAGCAGCTTGGTGAGAAGGTGACAACAGTTGGTGCGATTATTCGCAAATGGAAGAAACACAAAAGAACTGCCAATCTCCCTCGGCCTGGGGCTCCATGCAAGTTCTCACCTCGTGGATTTGCAATGATCATGAGAACGGTAAGGAATCAGCCCAGAACTACACGGAAGGATATTGTCAATGATCTCAAGGCAGCTGGGACCATAGTCACCAAGAAAACAATTGGTACACACTACGCCATGAAGAACTGAAATCCTGCAGCGCCCGCAAGGTCCCCCTGCTCAAGAAAGCACATATACATGCCCGTCTGAAGTTTTCCAATGAACATCTGAATGATTCAGAAGACAATTGGGTGAAAGTGTTGTGGCCAGATGGGACCAAAATGGAGCTCTTCGGCATCAACTCAACTCGCCGTGTTTGGAGGAGGAGGAATGCTGCCTATGACCCCAAGAACACCATCCCCACCATCAAACATGGAGGTGGAAACATTATGCTTTGGGGGTATTTTTCTGCCAAGGGGACAGGACAACTTCACCGCATCAAACGGATGATGGACAGGGACATGTTCCGTCAAATCTTGGGTGAGAACCTCCTTCCCTCAGCCAGGGCATTGAAAATGGGTCGTGGATGGGTATTCCAGCATGACAATGACCCAAAACACACGGCCAAGGCAACAAAGGAGTGGCTCAAGAAGAAGCACATTAAGGTGCTGGAGTGGCCTAGCCAGTCTCCAGACCTTAATCCCATAGAAAATCTGTGGAGGCAGCTGAAGGTTCGAGTTACCAAACGTCAGCCTCGAAACCTTAATGACTTGGAGAAGATCTGCAAAGAGGAGTGGGACAAAATCCCTCCTGAGATGTGTGCAAACCTGGTGGCCAACTACAAGAAACGTCTGACCTCTGTGATTGCCAACAAGGGTTTTGCCACCAAGTACTAAGTCATGTTTTGCAGAGGGGTCAAATTCTTATTTTCCTCATTAAAATGCAAATCAATTTATAACATTTTTGACATGTGTTTTTCTGGATTTTGTTGTTGTTGTTATTCTGTCTCTCACTGTTCAAATAAACCTACCATTAAAATTATAGACGGATCATTTCTTTGTCAGTGGGCAAACGTACAAAATCAGCAGGGGATAAAATATTTTTTTCCCTCACTGTACCTAAGGAAACCAACGCATTAAATTACCAGTACAGTATTCCCTCGTTATTCGCGAGGGATACGTCGCAGAGATGCTCGTGAATAGCAGATTTCACAGATAATCATATTGGTACACAAAAACCTATATTTTTTCAAGAATGACCTTAAAAAAATACGTAAATAGCTATTTCTAGGAATCATAGTGCAATGCACAGACAATTGCACCACAACTCGAAAAGTGTATGATTTAACCTGCATGAGGCCACGGTGGTGAGATGTTAACTACCTCACCTGGTATACAAGAGGTCGTGGATGCGATCACGACCCTGATGCCTGCTGTATATTTGGAGTTTGCGTGGTGGCTATGAGATGTTAACTACCTCGCATGGTATACAGGACGTCGTGGGTTCGATCACGACCCTGATGCCTGCTGTATATTTGGAGTTTGCACATTCTCCCCATGGTCAAGTGGATTTTTATTTGGGTCCTCCCGGTTTTTTTCCTCCACATTTAGAAATGTCCGTTTAGAGTATTTGGCAGCTATACATTTGCACATAGTAAGCCACTTCGTTGAGCTGTCATTTGTGGCCAGGTCGCTTGGAAAAAGAGCCATATAGCTCAGTGGGCCTTACCTGGTAAAATATAAAATAGTTTTATAACAATTACAATGTTTCTAAAATAGAACCACTGCAATCTCACTTCCTTTTTATTATATTCACCAACGTCTTATATAAATTTGAAAAATAGACGTACAGTCATTTAGTAAGTTCACTTTGCAGTTGCTTTGATAAGAATGTTTAAAATTAACTTACTTTGTCACTTTAGTATTCTAATTACCCTTGACCTTTGTGCAACTGTCGTGGGGCTAAACACGTCCCTAACACATCCATTTGTACAGGAGGTATTAAACAAAACTTTATGTTTTACCAAGTAAAAGTCGAGGTTTATTAGTCCTCGAATGTAGACATGCAAAGTGCAGTCTTGACATTTAGAAATACATCGTTTCATTTAGAGATGTCACGAGTTAACATATTTTGTTTAAAGATTGTACAAGTCCTCTTTTCAACACTTTACCGATATGGTGTTCTTTTGAAATGTCCCACCAACGTGAGCAACAATGGGTGTTGCGCAATGATCGTGGCATCGTGTAGCTACATTTGCCATGGGCCTTTCCTAGCTCGACTCAGCTTTGAATACAGTATGTACCTGGTGTGGTGTGAAAAACATCCGTGGCCAGGTGTGGTGTTGACCACATCATCACTCTTGTAAGCAGTCACTAACCCCACGGCAGTATCTGTAAAGCAACAAAATGGGATCTTCGTGTGCGCTTAATCAAAACAACTGAACTTTGTCCATCTATCTGCTGCTTCCAGAATCCGTGGATGGTGAACACTGCCGTAAGTGTCCTACGGGATCCTTCTCCTTCCCGTCTCGGGGCCAGGACACCTGCCAATCACACACCAACTGCAGTGCCTTGGGACAGACCTTGGAGAGTGCTGGCACGCATTATTCTGATGCCACCTGTGCACCTGTGCCTACAACTGCACCACCTGTCAACACGCCGCCCAAGGATATGGGCACTACCAGTGGACCCCACTCGCGCGCAACTGACGTCGTAACCATATCCTCAGTCTTCCCAGCAATCCGTGAGTGTCGTCCGTTGACCATAATCACAATCTCCTATTGTAATAAGTTATATTTAAAAATACTTTTTTTTTAAACACGCTTTAATGAAATGTCCCGTACGAGTAATGGCAGAACTCCACGACTCCAGGAAGTGGCCCCGAACCATAACGTAAGGGGACCGTGGTGATTTACAGCCAACGTGTGAAGCCGAAATATAACATATAAAAAGGATCGTTTAAAAATATATTTTTATTTTAATGATATAGTATTGTCATCAGTATGACATGCGTATCCCAAGTTTGCAGTTGATACGACATTGAGAAGTGGGTTAAAATTGAGTTACAAGATTTGAGGATACGACAACAAAGTTGAGGATACAACAGTTCAGTTTCAGTTTATTTTGGTATAGCCCTGTGAGCCATTCGGCTCTTGAGTCGGGTGCAACCACAACAAACAAAAACAAACACGAACAAGAAAAACATCTTAAAGTGACTATGTGTTGACTGTGCAAACAGAAAATCCATGGAAAAAACAGCAAAAATATTCCTGAAAAAAGCACCGTACACCAACGCTGTGTGCAAAAAATCACAGTGGGATGCAAGTCAAACAACAATAACCACAAGACAACTAAGATTAAGGCCATCAGTCTAACTCCGTACTACAACAAAACAAACATGTCCAAACCAAAAAACGTTTTCCAAATCACCAAAAAATAAAGCCATAATTGCAACGTAACAGTTATCACAAGGACTGTGACCGAATTTTTACAATAAACTACATAAATAACATATAACACCAAATCCTAGAGCCATAACAGAGTGAGTTTAATAAAAGCGTGTAAATAATAACGATAAAATGCTGTTTGTCTGCCCGTCTTTAAAGCACCCGGGGGTGTTTAGTGACGCTGGTGGGGTGGGAGTTGTTGATAGGGGAGGGGCTGATGACCTCAGCCAACTGGGCAGTTGGGGAAAGGAGTTCTTACGTCACGGAGGATTAGGTGGGGGGGAGGGGTGAGGTCACGAGACATAGCAGCTTGTGAGGAGATGGGAGGGGGTGATGACATCACGCAACACTGAAGTAGAAAGCTGTTTTCAAAGTGCAATGAGAATCAACTCAGCCCAATCATCCCTACAGCAGTCATTGAAATGAGTACCACTTAAACTAAACACGTTTTTTTTTTATCATGTTAGGACCACCTGAACCATGTAACTATTTTTCAAAAGCGACCTGGCCACCCCAAATGCTAGCTCAACGAAGTGGCTTATCATGTGGAAATGTATAGCAGCCAAATACTCTTAAACGCGTGTTTCTAAATACGGAGGGAAAACCCAGAGTACCCGGAGAACAATCCGAGCAACCACGGGGATAATGTGCAAACTCCAAACATACAGGTTACAGGTGTCAGGGTCGGGATAGATCCCACGACCTCCTGCATACCAGGCAAGGGCGTTAACACCGCAGCACTTTGTAGGAGGTTAACAGTGGCTGCTCAATGCAGACCCTGGCCTTTACCGTGGGGAATGCGAAACTTTCCGATTTCCACGACAAGTCCAGGACTGTCGGTGGAGACTAGCAATATTCCCATTGTTAATTCACGCAAGGAGATGTCATTTGATTGTTAATAGTGTAAATCTTGACTTAAAGCTTTCGTGACTGCAGGAATTCATACTCTTTGGGTCTTTCGGTAAAGTCACCGAAAGACCCCAAGAGTATGTTCATAGTGTATTTGTTTCATTGTATTTTTTATTCATTTGATTAATAGTTTAACCTTGTTTAATAGCTTAAAATTAACATTTGCATGACTGTTTTCTTACATTACTTATGTGGGAAACATCTATTAATTTCCTTTTAGCAGTCGACCTTATCTTAGCAGGCACAGTGTGTTTCCTTTCTATTGAGTATGGTTGAATAGAGTATATGTAAACTTATTGTGAAAATAGGGCAGCTGTCTGTCCTGCTTTGTGGTAGTGGAACCCCAGTAATGCCCCACAAAGTTGCCAGCAGCCAGTGGTTTATTTTAGCAGCGTCCCTTTGAGGGACAATATAAAATATAAACAACGTTGAGCATAGACGGGCCTTGTAGTACGAATCACAGCACCTTTGCAAGTAGCTACACTTTGGCAATGGTTTCTTGCAGTGCTGGTATTGTGAGCCTACGACAGTGTGACCACTGTGCACAAGAGTGATAGGTCTTGTGGACAGTAGGGGATAGTGCAGCAACATCCATTACGTTTCTCTGCACCTTCACAAACCTGCACCAACCTGCATTGACCATGCCGAAGGACGATCAGATAATACTCGTGGCCTGCAAGGCAAGGGGAGGCCCTCATCGAGCTGTGGATTGACAAAAACAGCTGTGCATGTACATTGCTTGTGTAATTGGTTCAAATGAGTCACAGACGTAGACTTGGAGGCAACACATTTATTAAGTTCCAACACATGGGGTAACTTTCCCCTTAACAGAATAACAACCTATGGTGGTGACCACCAGGCTAACTACACTAGTTACTACACTAGTTACTACACTAGTTACTACATTAGTTACCACGTAACTAGTATAGTTAGCCAGGTGGTGACCACCAGGCTAACTACACTAGTAACTACACTAGTTACAACGTAACTAGTGTAGTTACAACGTAAACTCCTTTGTCAAGGTGCTTTTTTTCTCCCACCTAGCTTAAAAGACGCTGCGAATCTTAGCAGCGTTCATTGAAGCGCTGTCGTCCCGACAGTTTTGTTCCTTCACCTGAAGAAGGCTACTTGTGTTGTGGGCGAAACGTCGTGAGAATTTGATTGTCTTATTTTGTGTTATTGTTTTATTCTCATTCTACGTGACTTTACCGAAAGAACCAAGAAGATGAATCCTTGCAGTCACGAAAGTTTAAATCGAAATGTAACTAGTGTAGTTAGCCAGGTGGTGACCACCAGGCTAACTACACTAGTAAGTACACTAATTACAACGTAACTAGCTACCACGGACTGGGACCAACAGCTTCAGCCCGGGTCCACGTGTTGGAGACTCGTTGAACGGAGAACGTAGATGAAGGATTTCTTCCAGGATGAACAACAACCCCCGGTCCCTCTCGGGACCCGGCTTATATTCTCTGTGGCGTGGCCGGCTCCGCCCTTGGCCACGTCCACCTTCCAGAATCCCTCTTGGGGCCCCTTTGTCAACTTAACTGGTCACGTGTCCTCCCGGGTCATAACCCTCCACCACCTGACACGGCCAGTAAGGGGCCATCCATTGAGCAGGTACGCAAATATCTGTCAAAACTTGACGCCTCCCTGTACGCACGCAAACTTTTTCACCCCCCTCCCCTACCTGCGTACGGACGCTTGACGCACCCCCACCCACCCCCCCCCGCCCCCAAGTCCTATAGAACGGCCGATGTTTATTCCATGCAGAAACGATCAAGGATTATTAATATTAACGTGTTTAAGCAAACAGTCCACCGCCGGACTATCTAACTCATTTGAAGGCCAATGTAGACAAATAATTATTATCGAGGCTTCACCCCCCCCCCCCCCGTTTCCTATGCGTATGTACATTGTCAGTACACCCCCCATATGCAAGCGTACGCATTTGGGTTACCCCCCCTCCCCCCTCCCCCCTCCATGCATATGTACTAAATGGATGGCCCCTAAGGTTTGTCACGTAAAGAACACGCCAATTAGTTACTACTGCAGCCCACCGGTGTGTTGGAGAGTAAATCCACAACATTAACAATTTGAATACGACGTTTCTCTGGTAATTACGTCCAGCATCATCGGGCGATTTGCCAGAATAGTGAAGCAATTTACCTGCATCTGGTCTTAAATAGAGCAAGATGACGTCATCACTGAACCCATCAGGTGCAGAGGAGGGGTGGGGGTATTGTAATTACATGATATATTAGTAATCAGTTAATTATCATGTGTTTCCTCTGAGGAATTGTATTACTACTATAATAGCCCAGAAATGTGTGTAAAGCGCGTGACGTCACTCCACATGCCCCCCCCTCCCCCCGTCATTCATAATAAAATAATCATGAGCGAGTGCATTTTTACACTGACGCGGAAGAAGGTCGAGCGGAAATGTTTTTTTTTCTTCCGCAAAGTCACTTCAAATATGACGTTTCTTTACAGACAGTGACGGTCAAAAATAAATATACACAGCACAGTGCTGCATCTGTACGTGACATCATTGCAAAAGAGCCCCCCCCCACCCCCGTCATTACTATAAAAAGCAAGACATTTCTTTGTGCAAATTCTCTTTAAATTTCACGTTTATTTATTGAAAGACAATCAAGTAAATAAATGTCTTCACGATCAAACGCCTTCAGGAATACCGCCACACACATTGGCACTGAAGATAGGCGTTATCATAATGCTGCTGCGAAATCTGAACCCGAAGAACGGTCTTTGCAATGGAACGCCTTTCATGGTTAAATCATTACAAAATAACTTCATCACCGCAGAGATTGCATTGGAATGCAACTGAGGCGAAATCGTCTTCATCCGACGACACATTCCGATAATTCCTGCGTATGCGATGACGATCAACAAGTGGCAGGGTCAGACTTTTGAAAATGTGGGTATTTATCTCAATGAACCCGTATTTTCCCATGGCCAGTTGTACGTGGCTCTGTCTAGATCTACATATCCTCACCGGATCAAAGTTTTCATCAAGGATAGCCAACTGCAGAGAAACCTTTTGAACAGTGATAAGAGATTCACTCAAAATATCGTATACTGAGAAATCTTCCAAAGTCATTAATTTTATGTAATAAGTTAAGAAAAAAATAATAATTTTGTGCTACATTTCCTAATAAAATTTTCAATCACACAATAAAACGTTAATTTACATCTTTCATATTACAGCTTCCGTCCTAGGACGGGATAACAAGCTAGTTACTTAATAATACGCTTCCAGGCCGCGCTGTATATTTGTATTTTTCGCAAACGCAAAAGAACAAAAAGGAATTAACTTAGTACTTTAAGGGGAAGGTACTATCTTATACCGTTTTCGAATTATTCAGATTTGAACATCACAAAATGCGTATTTTTTTCATTCAAAACCACTTGAATCCGAAATATCTCACAAAGAGTATAAGTTAGAACCAATGGTTCTTGCTTTAATTTCATTTGCTGTTTAATGGTATATCAACCGAAAAAACCCGCTATCTTATATCTTGAACGGTTTCTGAATGACACGCACAAACATTTTCATGGGGTGCTTAAAATCTAGACTTGGGGGCCTTAAAATAAAAAATCTCGGATTTTTATTGTTCCTGTTTTTTGTGTCCTAAAAGCTACCTATCTACCAAATTTCAGCTTTCTACGTTGTCGGGAAGTACCCTCGAGGCTTTTTGAGACATACAGAATGAAGGTCTTCATTTATATCAGAGGTGGGGAACCTTTTTTCTGCCAAGGGCCATTTGGATATTTATAACATCATTCGCGGGCCATACAAAATTATCAATTAAAAAAATTTGCCTGTTATATTTGGTCAAACATTTAATTAACTCACTTCTAATGTGATGCCTGGAACTGCTTCTCTTTGGTGAGGCATGTGATGTTAGCTGGTATTGACGATGTTGCTACTCGCAACTGCTTTTCCAGGCTTGCTCCAAGATTTATGAAATTTCGAGTCCCGCCTATGGTTGCCTTGGCAGAGTCAGACCAAATGATTTTGCGGGCATTATATGGCCCGCGGGTCGGACGTTCCCCACCCCTGATTTATATAGATACCTGGTGCATTGTGAGAAAATGAACACGAGGAAGATAAAGCCTTGACAAGATGGTGTTAATAAGATATCGGTGAATGTTTGGAATTGTGAATGCACTTTATATGTTTTCTCCATTCCTTTATTTGTTGCAGAACATTCTAGTTTGTCTGCAGATGAGCCTACCAAGCCATCGGATACTGGTTACACATCTCAAGTAAACGTCATTATCGCCCTTGTGACCGTCATATTAGTCATTATTCTGGCATGTCTGGTGTTGCATTATTCCAAAAGCATCCGCAGAAGAATTGTGACTGCTACGCTATCCAGAGAAGAAAAGGGTATGTTCAGAAGAATCAAGTTCACCAAACAATATTTAATGGTTTCTAAACAAAGATTACACGTAAAATTGGAGAGAATAATGTAGGTACATACAAAAAAATGTATGTCATGGTTATAAACTCTATGTCCACACATTATTTAGAACTATAAGGTTGATATGGAATGGAAATGCCTGGCTTCTCCTTGTGCAGAAATTCACAACACTGGCAGAAGAGCCCTTTTTTTTTACAAAGCACTTGAAAACACTTCCCATTTTTACACCGCAACAAAAAAAGAGAAGGGCATTGCAACAGTGCCATCGTGGTGGCACGGGGATTGGTTAGCTTGAGATACGTCGAGCAGAAAGCCAGCATGTGCATGTTCTTATATGAACGCGTATAATAAAATCAATAAGAATTGCTCAACAAATCAGTTTTGAATCCAGTGTATTTAATTACCGTGATTTCCTGAAAGTTGCCAAAGTCATGTAAGACTGTTCATGATTCTTAAAATTCGGTGTAAAGGCTAAAAACTGCAAGACCAAATCATGTTATTGAAGATACAAAGAGTAGTGGGAGAAAGACCCCAAGCCTTGCTGCACATCCCAATTGTTTATAGACATTTTATAGGCAAACTCAACACCTCTCTCATTCCTAATGGATGTTTGAATGTGGGCAGGCTTAATATTACGTATATATTTACTGTACAAATATATAAATGTCTGATAAACCTTACACAGAACGAACATGTAAGGTAGAACAAGCAAATGTACTCGTAATTGCATTCACTGTTGGATATATTTTTCTGTTTTCTTTTTTGCAGATATATTTTTACAATTATCAGACCGTTTGGGCTTGCAATGGCAGCGTTTGGCGCGAAGCCTCGGATCCATCACTGAAGTGGACATTGAAACAATATCGACAAACCACAAGTCCCTTCCGGAAAAGACATACATGGTCCTCCTTAAATGGAAGCAGAATTCAGGAAAAAGTGCCACACTGAGAGAATTGGCAAGAGCCCTAGACAGTATGGACCGTAGAGACCTGGTTGAATTAATCTCATCTAAAATTCCAAATGAGATGTCCATGGGTTCGAGAGCTGTGCTGCTTTAGAAAAACTTCAATACTGGCTTGCCACTTGGAATTAGTCTTGCTACAAACGTGGGGTGATGTACCTCTGACAGCTAACACAATGGATTGCTGTCATCAAACGAATGTGTGGTTTGGAATACCACATGATTCAGGAATGTGGACAAACAATATGAGCCGTGATCTACAAGCCACAGTTAAATATAGGTATTCATTTAAAGCTTTTGTGACTGCAGGGAGTCATATTCTTGGTTCTTTCGGTAAAATATATTTTATTGTTTCCCTTCTACGTGACTTTACCGGCAGAACCAAGAATATAGGTATTCATGTAAATAGTATGTGTGTGTCAATGATCAGCGTTGTTGCACACTCTGATATACGTTTGATAAGTGGCTTAACACTAAATCACCCAGCTCTGGGTGCTCTACCACGTGGTGTCAGCTACTTGTCGTAGGTTGGAAGGTAAGGAGCTAAGAAGTCAGTTTTGCTGGAGTGAAAACGTGACTGAATGTTCGCATGAAGCAGGCCGCCAGGGCTCTGGTTCGACCATAAATGACACTGCCTGATGACTGGGCCAACAGTGGCCAACTGCCTGGTTTGTTGAATCAGCACGGAGAGACCCCAACTGTATACGGCTTCATCGATTGAGACTTCAAGTCGAGTTTTTCTCCTTGGCCATGGGGTTTCCTTCCACTTGTACAGTAAAAAAATGTCTGCCAAGTTCATTGCTTGCTAAAATATTATTTAATACACACTAGACAGGAAGGACAAGATCAAAGGGGTTGCATAATGAACATGCTTAATGTACGTTGACTCAGTAACCCCCCCCCCCCCCCCCCCCCACTTTGCGAAAGAGCGCAGAAGCGTGGTCACCACATCTACGCCTCTATATGAGGACCGAAACAGACTTCACAAATCTGGCTGTTGCCTGATGAAGCTCGTTGTAATTACTGGCAAAACGTCACGGTACTCAGATTGTAAATGTTGTGGCTTGTGTGCTGTACTAGTGATGAATTGGCACGTTCTGTTTACGTGACAACCCTTACTAGTTGGCTGTGTCGGGTGGTGGCGGGTTTTAACGACACATTGATATATTTATGCGATCTAACCCAAAAAACCTCATGGATAAAATATCGCTCGGAATAGACTATGTAATTATTTAAATGTGAAATCGTTTCTATGTGGTGATCATCTATCTCTGGTTTGCCTCTGACCATTTTCAAAATGTGCCCAATGTACTCAGGTCTCAGAAGCTAAGCAATGTTTCAGCCTGGGAATTACATGTATGGGTTACCATCAAACAAGACAGGTGTTATAGGTTGTTGCCGGGCTCTGTTGGGTGCAGCAGAGTGCAGTGCAGCAAATTATGTTTTGTACTGTACGGGCAGTCCCCGACTTACAAATGGATATCGTACGTAAATCGATTTGTTTGTATCTTGGAACACACTCGTGTAATGCACTTAATTGCACATACGGTCAGCGTAATAAAATGTGTTACGGTTCAACAAAACAGGGAAGCTTTGTTAAACTTATAAGTATTGTAAATAGGTATAGTAATAAATGGCGCATAGTAAATAACGATATACAGTAAAGTAACGTGACAAAAATCCGGATGCTGGCTTGCTTATGCAGGAGAGATGGATGATTAATTGGAAGAAGATCATGATGCAGGTGAGGATAGTGATGGGGAATTTTCAGGATATTCTAGAGATATTGCTGACGAGCTTGATGGCATTGTTTCTGGCTCCCTTTGCAAACTTCCTGAAACACCTATCAAGGGCAACTTGGACAGAGGCCTTTTTATTCATACATTTATTTCTAGCAACTCGGGCCATCATTGGAAACTCTACAGACATTGGTGAATTTAGATGAGTTTGGGTCTTGTGCATCAATGATGACGAAGCCAGCTTCCAAATGCCGCAAAGCTTCAACCAATTGATTGAATATCTCGAGTGACCTCAGCTTCAGCTTTATTAGCAACCTTTTGTGCCTCCAGTTCCACGATATCCTCATTGGTTAGCTCTTGTAAGTGGGAGCTGGGTAACCGCTGAACATCATCAGCCTGAACTCAAGCTCAAGTTGCTTTACCAATTCAATTACTTTTGTCAGTCACTGTGTGCATAGTGTCCTCAAACCTGCTTGTACTGTGTTCCAAAATCTATCCCTCCCCACCGCCTTCACCAACCTTCACTGACCAGCGTTATGAAGTATAGTCTAATAACCAGAATTACCCGCATGGGTCATGATGGCCCAGAGCCTTTCAGGATTTCAACATTTTTTTGGTGGGCACCAGTTTCTACATATGATAATTGATGACATCCCACATTGCTACGATGTTATTGACCCAGAGGAATGATGGGCCAAATCAACCAATGATGGGGATTCAAACTCACAGCTGTTTTGTGATTTTAGTGTTCTAACCACAGCCAGTGTTGGCATATCGGTAGATCATACATTGGTCGATAGCAGTGGGTGTTAACCTGAGGTGCACTGATTGTTGCAGGGAGGCCCCGAAGTCCATTGGTTAGGGCTATGGGAATTCAACTGATGTGAAGGAGAAATTCAAACGTAAAAAGCGGGGTTACGAGGGTTGACTGTCAGAGGAACTGTTGACAATCGGAGGATGGGGATTGGCTAAGGCAAGAGGGCTGAGCGAACCTTCGAGAAAAGGGGGCTCTAGGGATATAAAAGTGGATAGCACAAGGGGAAGGGACGGTTGTAGAGAAGACGAAGCTGAGGCCTAAAGAACAGTGTTCGTGTGTACAACAAAGGCTCGTGGTAAAGCAAGAACGTGTGTCGGTCGACGTCACACACACAGCACCCCCTGGGTGTGCGAGATGCCCTCTCCGAGGTTGCGAGACATGGCCAGATTTTTATTTGAAGGCAAATCGTCGAAACATTAAGCACGAGCGCATAAGTACAACTTTTATTTCATCAAACCCGATGTATTTATTAACATGTTTTTTTTTTACAATTGAGAACCTAAGGGGTACAAAGGCTGCAGTAAAGGTTAAGAAGCACTGGTCGATAGGGTCCAATATTAGTATCGTGTGTAGCTTCAGTATCAGTGTATATGTTGGCCTATGAGACTGTGGTGAAATCTAACCCCACCATAGGTCCTTAGAATGTTCATGCTGTACTGCACTTTATACCTTGGAGATATTTTGGTGAAAACTTGGAAATACTCAAACTGCACATAAATTTCTCAAATTATGAAGCGTACATATATATTAGCCTATGGTAAACTAAGCATGCATCGATATTCGAATTATCAATTTACATTAATGATTACGTTCACGATACATTGAATTGTGCGTTTAACCATCTCTGGTTAACAATTCTGGTAAATTATATTCGATTACCTTGAGCTAAAGTTTTCAACTACTGGTAACTGTATGGCTGCTACAGAAGAAAGCAAGAATGTGATACGGTTGAGACGTGTGTAGAAAACTAACATGTGGTCATGCTAAAAGGTGCTGAGTTATGTTTTCCTGGACTGGATGGATTCATGGTGCTGGTGGAAAACTCATACCTGTCAACCCCTTATCAGTGCCTGTCTTATTACAGACCAATTCAGACCTTATTGGTCACCCTGTGCCCTTATAAATTTCAACGTTCTTCCTACAAAGTCCCATCACAAGAGAGAAACACACAAATAGACAGAAAAAACATTCCCGTATTGAAACTGCTGTAGGCCGTATGGACCTGAAAACTCAATTTCCCTTTACTAGAATACGGGCAAAACGTATGGGTTGACAGGTATGAAAATTGCGCGTTTTACTGTTATAAGACTATGCTGAGTGTGATCACCTTTGACTACAAAGTTAGTGGGGTGCTGAATAACGAAATAGAATACATTTCAGAAGTGGGATGAAGATAAAGCCTGAGAACATAAAATTAAATTGTGAGTGACCAAAAGTGGATAGTACAACCACGTGTAAAACGGAGCTGTCTCATAACTCAGTTGAAAAATTAAGTAAAAAAGTGGACGTTAAAGTGGTCTCAAAATGTCTAATGGAGTGTGCTGGGACATTGTGGACCGTCTCACGGTCTCGCTGGACCGTGCCGTTGCTCCTCTGCATCCGAACAAAACTTCACCCCTCGCCGTATGATAACAGGTTCCCCCCTTCTTTTCTGGCAACAAAACAGGCGTTAAGATGCTAAAACACCAAACTGAAACCTTTCACAAGGAGTCGTGTCCGCATTAACCACGATGCTTGTGGTCAGAATGCAAACAAAAAAACAACATTCTGATAATATATGGTACCCGGCGTTTGCTCGGGCGAAAAATATATATTTCAAATCTTCTCTTAAAAACCTTACATATACATACACAGATACTAAGGTATTGTGGAAGCCCGGTGGGCCGTCTGCCCATTTCTCCAGCAACAAAATTATAAGATGCTTGCACAAGTCGAAAAAGTTATTTAAAAAATGGGGGGGGGGAGGGGGGAAATAGTTGATGTAAAAAGGTTTACGAAAATTGTCAACCCCCCCTAAAAATATATATATATTTTACCCCCACGTAGGTATATATATATATACCTACACTATGATGCATTGTCTTTAAAACAAAAAAACTGATTGGTCCACACCAGAGACGGCTTTCTTTCGAGCCTAGTCTCTCCCCTCGTCATCGATGTGCGTGGTCGCACTCTGTGTCAACAGCATGCCCTACTCGTGCCACGTTGCTGATGCCGCTGCTGCTGCTGCTAACGCGCCACCAAGGCGGCGCCGAGCAAGAACGGTGTGTGGCCCGACTCGCCGTTGTAACAGCATGAGGCTCGGCGGCGATAGTGGCCGAAGAGACGCCGGGGGTTGCTTTTCGAACATTGCGTTACACGGCCGCCAGCGTTTTGTTTTGCCAGGAAGGGTTATCTAACCGATATTTATTTTAAAACAAAAAAAAATTTCATACCGAGGCAGGCGCGTTTTAGACGCTGTGAGGTCGGGTGTCAAACACACGGCCTCGTAGGCCGGACATTAACATTGTTTACGACTGATATTTAATACTATGCTCTTTGGTTTCTTCGGTAAAGTCACGTAGGTGGAAGAAAACTGATCAACGACGTTGCGATCGAAACATCGTGAACTATTATTTGTTTCTCCCTACGTGACTTTACCGAAAGAACCAAAGAGTATGGATTCCTGTCTGTCACGAAAGCTTCAAATAAAAATTGATAAAAAATTTTTTTTAAAATAATAATTCTAACCCCTGTCGATGCCCACACCTCGACGTCCAACACCCACCACCCATCCTCCTGCTGCTCTTCGCCTGACTCACAAGTGACGGCGTCGCAGTTTGCCCCCTCGATCTAAAGACCGGCACGGCAGGATTCTGGCTTTGTCGCGTGATGATTGCTGGTTGTGATTGCTGGCGAAATGTGATGCTCGAATTGTACACCTTGTGGGTTTTTACTCTCCCAACGCGCCGGTGTGCTGAACGTGGTAACTAATTGTAATGTTTTGTTTACATCACGAATCGTACGCTCATTGGCTGTGTCCGGTGATGGCCGATTTAACGAAACATTTCCGTGTATTTATAATATTGGTCGCGAAAGTTTACGCGTTTGACTTGAGTGGGACGCGCCCCTGCTCTCGAATGATGTGCGCTGCTGGTTTTGTACTGTATAATGTATGCTCATTTTGCTGCTATTGTGAATGTTGATGCTTTGTTTCTGTCTAAACCGAGACCGATGTAACTGTCATAAAAGGCAGATTGCAGAGAGATGACGCGTGTGGTCATGTTTAAATGGGCAGAGATCCTTTCATGCTGTATTTGGACAAGGGATTGTAACCGTGGCGTGCTGCTGGAAATCCGTGTGTTTTA